ACCCTGGGACTTTGGGAAAGACCTTGAACGCTGGTGGGCAGCATGGCAAGATCTCTACTGAGACTCTGTGCCCACATGGGAGGCAGCTCTCCAACAGGGCTGCTGCCCCAGTCCACACTGGCTGAGGGCCCCTAACTCTGAGAATTACAGTGGTGTGAGCGAGACACTCTGCCAGGTCCGACAGAATCCAACACTCTTCTCCCTGGAGACCCACTGGGAACCCAGCTCCTAAGGATACCCACACATCAAACCCCAGGACAGATGGACTCACAGCCAGGGTGCCACCCACATCTGCTGTGAGAGGCAGCAGAATCCCAACACCAAGGCTTCTCGTGCTGGAATCACCAACGGCAAAGACAGCACGATGTGTGCCAAGAAGCCTTGAGAGGGCTGGGTACAGGACCTCCACAGCACTGTGGACGGCTGGGTGCCAGGGACCCCTCAGAGAGGACATGGGGCTCTGCTTACACAGATGTGTGCAATGAGCTCAGTGGTCAGTCTCTCCGCCAGGCAGGGAATCGTGGCCTTTCCTTCGTCCAGCAGAGCACTGGGAGAGAGAGCAAGAGGGACATCCGTGGTCACGTGGACAGCACATCAGAGTCTGCATGTGCAGATGGGTGGCCGGGACAGACTCAGGCGCTTCCAACAGAACACAAGGGCATACAGCTCGTACCCAAGCAATGCTCACAGCTGGATCAGACCTGGTTGCCTGTGGGCAGCTCAGGTATGTCCACAGAGGCTGGAACTGTCCCTTCCAGCTCATCAAATAAATGTGTCTCAAGACATCCAACTGCAGATTTGGTCTCCAAAACATACACGTGTGCACCTCAGACACGCTTCCGTAGCACACACACACCCTTCCGTGTGTAACAGGCGTGACTACACAGCACCTGTGGGGACAGGACTGCACACAAACATGGTGCCTATTTACATACACACGTGACAACTGGGGAACCCAGAGACACAGCTGCCCCAGGATGAGAACTGCAACCATGTTCACGTGGAGGAGGGAGGCCACAGAGTCTCCTTGTAATGCCAAACTGGGGCCCACAGGGTGAGGTATTGCAGGTCTCTGACATTGGTAGTCCCTGAGGGTGGCAGGCGGCAGGGGCTGGAGACCCTCACCAAGCCTGACTGTCCACAAGCATCCATTTTTCCCAACGTGTATGAAACATGCCATGTTGTTTGACTTTTAGCTATTTAGAGTGCACACTTCAGAGACGCCATGACTTTGACACTGTGGCTCAGCACGGCCACCTCCCACCTCCAGAACTTTCCTGTCTTGGAACGTTGCTCCATTAACCGCCAAGCCCCATTCCCACCTCCTCCAAGGCCTGGCCAGTTCCTCTCCTGTGGCTGTGAGTTTCCTGGCTCCAGGGACCTCGTCCAGTGCAGACACACGGCCTTGGTCTGGTGTCACAGTCTTTCCCTTGGCACAGTGTCTTCAAGGTCCAGCCACGTGGCAGCAGGAGGGGGCTTCCTGCCTTTCTGAGCCTGGACGGGAGCGTCCACCTCCTGCCCACAGCTACCCTGCTTCTGCACTCCTGGCTCCTCGGATGTTGGGTGTCTCTCACCTTCTGGCTGCTGTGGAACGCACTGCAGCTGCCACTCTGTGCATGCACCTGGGACATCCTGTCACTCCATGGGACGCCCGGAAGCCCCCCGGGGAACTGAAGGCAATAAGGCTGAGACTCCACCTGGCTCTTGTTTGCGATCCCACCAGCGTGTCAGTCAGTGCTGCCTTCTGAAGAGGCCTCAGCGGACACAGGCGCTTCTGCACCTGCGACTGCAGATGCCGGGGCGAGGTCACAGGGACGCGCATGGTCACCTTTCATGGCTAAGTTAACTACAGCTGATGTCCGTTTTGGTCTGCTAGTTAGGGAAGACCCCATTCAGGCTTCCCCAGGTGTTCAACACAACCCCATGCCCCTGACTGGCAGCGACCTCTCTGGCTCCTTGGGTGAACTGTGCGTTGGTCAGTGTCAAACACGCAGGCACCTGTGTCCGACCTGGGCTCTCTGTTTGTCTCTGTTGTTCCATCCGTGTTTCTACTCTGGTTCCAGCCCCATACGCTTAGATGACCGCAGTAAGCAGCCTCCTTATTCCCTTAAATTAGGGGGCAAGGCTGTGTGCGTCCCTTTCCTCTCAGGACAGCTCCGCAGTCAGTGCCGGGGGCACACAGGCTGATGCACACTCACTCCCATGTGTGCGCGCGCACACACACACACACACACGCTGCCAACACCTGCTTCAGCCCAGCCACTCTCCCCGGCAGGGACGGCCGCCTTGCTTGGGGCTGGCCTTGGGGAAGCGCAGCTGACCAACCTGAACTGAGGGTGGTCCTCGAAGAAGGCCTTCTCCTTCTGCAGGGCCTCGGCCAGGCTCAGCCGTGACTGGATGTCGTGCTGGCCGCGGCACTTGACGATCATGTAGCCCTTCTTCAGGTGGCACACGAGGTTCCTCACCACGTCCACCACGGTGTCTTCAGTGCCTTTGTCCACCAGGTCGGGCTTCGTCAGAATTCCTGCCAGCCAGGGACTGGGATCAGAGACCGTGCAGTGTCCCAAGGCAGAGGGAAGAACCAGCCCCCAGGCCTCCACCCAGCCCAGGGCCAGCAGACAAGGGCCCCTACAGAACCCACGAGCAAGCTGGAGTCCCAGTCCACAAAGACTTGCAGGGAAGGCCTCAGGGAGACAGGGGGCCATGCTAGAGGGGTGGCCCTTCCCCGGCTCCTGCACCCAGGCCCATGGAGGGACAGGCCGTGTTCTGTCCGTCCTTCACCATGAACAGACCAGCCTGGCTGCCCTCCAGAGATCTCAACTGGGAGCTTCTCCTTCCTGTTCCTGCACACCCTCGGAGCCCAGGGCGCCTTCCCAAAGGGACATGCGTCAGGAGGCCATGAGGTGGCCAATAAGGATCAATGTGGCTTCCTTCCTCCAGACCCAGTGGACATGGAACCTACACCTGGGAGGGTTCCTGAGCCACGTGCAGGTACCCTCGGCCAGCCAGCCTCTCCCCTGGACTCAGGGTTGTGGTCCCACCGTCGGCTCCCTGCTTCTCACCTATGGTCCTGTCTCCATCAGGGTCCACCTCCTGCGCCATGCTCAGTGCCTCCGTGGTGGCTATGTCCACGTTGCTGGGGACCACCACCAGGTTGATGGTCTCCTGCTTCTGGATATACTTCCTGATGAGTCGCTTGATCTATAGGAAAAAGAGGCTGTGACTTCCCAGCACTGGGCTGGACAAGCAGGAGACACATTGGGGTGGACAAGCAGGGGACAGGCCCAGACCATGCACTTGCACTCAGGCACTCAGTGTCTGCAACCTCCTCCGTGGGCAAGTGAACCTGCAAGCACAACCCCGTGGCTCTGCCAAGCCAGACTCAGGGCAGCGGTGCCTGCGGACTGTGGAGCCCCAGGTCAGGGAAGGCCGTGAGGCTGTGGCTGCCTACTGTCCCTGAGGCCTCAGATCTGAGGGTCCCAGTGGATTGCAAGACACCAGACCTACTGCCTGACTCACTTCCTGAGTCTTCCTTCCTGGGGTGAGAGCCACGGAGGCCATGTGTCACCTCCTCTGCGCCTTCACCCTCTCTGCCCACTAGGAGCCCTCTAAGAGATGGCAGGGTGCGTGCCACACAAAACTTCACCGTGACCCAACCAAGGCTCGGCTGAACACACAGAGATGATGCCTTCCTGCATTCTGAGGCCCAAAGTCCCTTCTTCTCTAAGGAAGGGGACGAGGTGACGCTCTGATGTCTGAAATGCTCAAGGAGCGTCCAGAGCTCCCGACCATGGACTCTTGGAGGCTACAGAAGTGCAGGCTGTGCTCCCACAGGCAGGAAGGACAGAGCTGCCTGTCTGCATGGTCGTCTCCGTCCACTGGGGATCGTGACACTGGCTCTCCACTGCCACTCGCCTCCACACGCCCCCTTCAACCAGGACCTGGACTCCCGGCTGCACTCATGCAGCGCCCCCTCATCCGGGGCACAGGCAGGTGGAGGCTGGAGTCTCACCTGGCGCCCGATGTCAGTGGGCTGATTTCCAACAGCCACCCTGGTAATGCCAGGAAGGTCGATGAGGGTCAGATCCGGGACGCTGGGGGAGCTGACCTCCAGGCTGATGAGCTCATCGCTGATGCCCAGCCCTGTCCCGGCGATGAGGTTCTGGGCTGTGGAGAGGAGAGGACACGGGGTGCAGCTGAAGGGCGGTGCCCCATTTAGGGAGCCTGCCACAGCAGCTCTGGCTCGGGGGTCCTGGGGGGCAGCAGGTTTGGAGCCCCTTCCCCTTTGGAGATTGGACCCCATGTTTCCTCAAGAGGTGACTCGGTACTTTCCCTGCTGTGCCCAGGACTGTCTATAGAGGGACCTGGGACATCTCCACTGGGCCAGCCTGGAGCCCTTCCTGATGGCATGCCGTGACCCTCCCCTGGGTGTGGGAGGAGAGTCACAGAGAGGAAGGTGAGGACACCAGGGGACCCAGACCAGAGCTGGGAACTTGTTAGGGCACCAGGAACCGGTGAGTTCTGTTAGGAGCCTGCTTTTCTCTGGACCCCTCTCGGTATTGACACATTTAGAATGGGAGAAGGTTCCTGAGGGCCACCTGGTGCTTCTGAGCGTAGACACCATCTCTCTGGAATGTCTGTTACAGTCTAGAACATGGCTGCAAATAATGACGTCGGCATGTGTGGCCAAGGCAGCTCACTGCTCCTGCAGTACCCAGGTCCCCAAGTCGTGTGTGTGACCCTAACATGAGGCAGAGGAGGTGCAGTAGCTCTGGGGTGGGTGAAGGGAGGGCTCCCGAGGGAGCAGGCCCAAGGCAGGGGAGACGGGGACCCTCTGCACTAGCTGGGCCTGGTGTCCAGGCAAGACCCCGGGCACTCACCTTTATTGATTTCCCCTTCCACCTGGGAAGCCTCTGAGAGCTCCAACTCCATGTCCAGGTAACTGACCTTGGCCCTCCACTCATCCTCCTGCCCCAGTTTCTTCATCCTCAGCACAAGAGGGCACCTGGTGACAATACCTAGGAGACCACACTAATGTCAGTCCTCTGCTCTGCTCTGTAGGCTGGAGGGGCCATGCACGCACAGATCTCCAAGGTTGATGCCATCATCAGGGGAGATGCCCAGGCAGAAGCCTCTGGACTCAAAACCCTGCAGTGACCTCATGCACTGGGGCATCGCGTCTGTGGTGACCTCAGACATGAGCTTTTGGAACAGTCACCCCAGTGACTTTCTCTCATTCATCTAAACCCATGAACACTTCGGGGTTTCAACCCAATGTACTGCCTTCAGGTCAGGTGACAATCTCCCAAACACAGGCAAGCGGCCCTCCCTGCTCCTGAGCCACCCCCCACTCACTGCTCCCCCAGGACACATTCCCGTTCAGAAGGAGCGTCTATAAGCCCTCTCTGAATCCTGGCTGTCTAAGAGCTCAGCCTCTGAGCTCTCACAGGCTCCCCTGTCCATGCAAGTCAAAGGCATCACTCTAAGATGCCCATCATTGTCCCCCCAGCTGGCCAGTAACCTGGTGGGATGAGCTCAGGAGAGACACCCAGGTGCACTGTGTTCTGGGCAGGGACACTATCCATTCAGACTCTCCACCAACTGCAGACCCCATACAATCCACAAAGGCGTGCAACCAGACGGTGTAAGAGACAGAGAGCCCTTCACCCCAAATGCACAGGCTGAGCCAATCACCCCGATGTGACTGCCTTTGCAGATGGGGCCACTGAAGAGGCAATTAGAGTTGACAGATGTCATCAGGGGTCACAACAGGAAAGTCCTGACCCATGTGATTGGCATCTTTGTAAGATTACGTGGAGACCCCAGGAATCTTGCCCAGAGAAGAGGCCACGTGAGGTTAGGGCACAGTGAAGAGGTGGCCACCTGCAGGCCCAGAAGGACCTCAGGAGAACCCACCTTCACCTTCCACCTGCAGCCTCCAGACTGTGGAGAATACAGAACTGCTCTGGGAGCCACCAGGTGCCCGAGGACAATAGTTAGAAATGAGTTCTCACCACTGCCCCTGGGGAGAGCCACTCCCGACAGAGCCTCCAGCACAGAGCTCTTGCCCGAGCTCTGGTCCCCAATGACGGCGATGGCAGGCAGGGCCAAATCCCGCTCCACGCCCAGGGCCCGCAGGGAGTCGATGAGGTCGATGCAGGGGCGCACCTTCTCCTCATACTGCCTGCAGAGGTTGAACTCGGACCCCTGGAGAAGGCCAAGAGGACACTCTGTTATATGCAGGTCACGCTCCACCAAAGATGGCAATGTGGACAGGAGTAATATAGGGTCCCTGGAATCCCACCAAGGGGAGGGGGGATACCTGACGAAGTCCTGCACGCACCCCTCCATCGAATGCAAAACATAAACCAAAGGTCCAAAACCCTCATAAAGACCCCAAAACAGGAAATACAAAACAAACTACATCCATGCACCTTAGAGTCAACTTGTTGTAGCACAGGGCCAAAGAGGAAATGCTAAAAGGGCTAGCACCTGAAAAACCCTCTACAGAGGATCAAAGACGGGCTAGACAGCAGCTTCCTACCACCCACCAACCAGGTGGGGAGACACTGCTTCTGGTGCAGGTTGGTTTATTTGGTGCTGGGTTTCAGTCCAAGGCTTCCCACTCTACTGAGCACAGCCCTAACCCTGGGCTGTACCCTCCTTCTCTGACAGCCTTAACACACTCAGAAAACCCCAGGAACGTGGGATTCTAGACCAACCAAAAAAGAAGCAGGATGAGCATGGCTTGGGCGGTGGGTGACCCAGGGACGGCTGGGGCAGCGTGTCTCCCGCCAGCACAGCTGGCCTTCATCTAGAAGCAGGCAGGAACCAGGCTGGTGACTCTGTTCTATTTTAAGGAGGATTCATTAGGCTGCTATTCTTTTTTTTTTTTTTTTAGAAGTTGCGTGCCTTGGCCAGGACGTGATGGCCAGTGTGGGATTCCGACAAGGCAACCTCATCCTGCTCTGCACTCTCCCCTAGGATGGTTCCATGAAAAGTGATAAACACTGCAGTGCAGGTGGCCTCCCGGAGCACAAGGGTTCCAGAGGGCCAGAGACAACCCCCGGGCCATTGACGCTGATCCTGTCCCCATGCTACGTCTCTAATTCTCCAGGTCTCAGCTGCAGAGGGCCTGAGTACGTACAGTTCCCACACCTTCCAGGCTCTGCAGATGCTGTGGCCGGGGGCGCATTTGAGAACCACCGTCACTCTTACCTTGAAGTGGACGTGTGGGTTCACAGACTAGAAAAGACCAGCTGCTTCCCAGGCAGGTGGGGAGAGTAGAGGTTACAATTTGGACCTGTCTCCCGGAGGCACATGTGGTGAAGCCTTGGTTCCCAGCTTGGAATTATTGGGAGCTAGTTTGTAGTATAACAGGAGAGGCCTGGGGAGACGTAGGGGCCAGACTTCCTCTCTCTTTTGTCTCCCAGCCTTTGAGGGGAGCACCGTGTGTGGCAAGGCTCCCTGGCGTGCTCTGACACCACATCTCAAGGAAACAGTAAGTTGTCATGAACTGAAACCTCTGCCACCATGAACTGAGTCAGTCTTGTCCCTCCTGGAGCAGGACATTTGGGTCCTTGCACGCTCTGTTGGGGCCCAGGTGCAACCAAGTGGGTTATCTCAATGTGGCTGGGCGCCATGTTGTTCTGGGAGACCACGGGATGCAGATGGGCTGGTGTAGGGACAGGGCTGGCATCCACACCAGGGCGCACTGTGCTGCCCCTGTCTCACCACGGGTCAGTGTGGAGGTCTCACTAGGACACTCCATCCCTAGGGAAGCCACGTGGTCTCCACAGTGTAGAACGGAGACCTTTTGGGGGCGAAGCAGACATGGGGTGAGGACTGAGGCGCCCTGGAGACGGATCCCAACACTGGCCCTTTCAGCCGGGTGATGTGACAGGTTCTCCTCCCTCCACAGTCCGGCTTCCCAGCTCTAAGGAGGAGTCACGACAGTACTCGCTCTCGAGGCCCTGGGGAGGAGTCAGGGCAGCTCAAGCCAGGTCCTTGGTGGGGGGGGCTGGGGTCTTTGCTATTCTGGGTTTGAAATGCTGGCCTGTCGCCTGCTCTGGTGGACTCCATTTCCAAGCAATACTCAACAGTTGTCCAATGGTGTCAGCAGCAGTGTTGAAGTCACAGGCAAATGAGAAGGCCCACCCGATGCCTCCTCTCCTTACAGACCTGCTTATGTTTCCCTCCCAGACGCCCCTCCTGCTGGGTTATAAGTCTTAGGGTGGGGATGGGAAGGACTCACACCCACTGTGACGGTCATCTTCCTGTTACTGTGTCAAAATTCCCAAAATAAAGCATCCCTCTGAACAGAGCCACTTACCAATGCCTCATTTCTCTCTGCCGTGGAAGCATCTCCATTTGGGAAGAGATGGTTGGATTCCACAGCAGCAGGATTAGCACAATTGACTTCTGATGGAGGAGGACTCATCTTCTTCCTTGTCTCCTGTCACACCTTGAACTTCACAGGAGATGTGCCAGTCAGTGCAGGTGGAAGCCCTGGCCCCGAGTGATGGGGCCTTGGTAAACAACACAGCCCAGGCCTCTGTAGAACAGCCAGCCTCTGCCCACCCCCAGGATTGTGTGCTTCGAGGGCAGCATCTAGTCACCCCTGGCCCTCTGGAAAGGGAGGGTGGCTCCTTTTGTCTGGTAGGAGTCGGGTGATAAGGAAGGCCATCGAGTCAGAGGTCACTTATGGAGACTGTCCATCCACAGAACTCTTCTTGAGACAACCGCCCTCCACCTATTTTGGAAACAGGATCTGCACCTCACAAGCAAACGTGGGCTGAGAGCTTGGGTTCCTACAGTGTCCCTGGCTCCACAGAGAAGACCCCCTCCATCTGTCCCCTGGATCACCATGTTACTGGGCCAGGACGGCCTCAGTGGGCCTTAGTACACCATCAGGTGACATCATGGGTCCCTGGCCTGCTCTCCAGGACCATGGACTCACTTTGAGCAACCAAAGCAGTCGTTGGGTTTATACTCCCTCCCTCTGTTTTTCCCTACAGAGATTCCTGAGAGCTAAGTCCTGTGTGTTTTCTCTGCAAGCCACAAACTTTGTACCTTTCTAGGGTCATTTTGATCATCAGGGTGGACTCACAGAAAGGGAATCTCAGTCATTCCACCAGTTTCTACTCTCACGGCTCTGGGCCTCCAGCTGCCGTGTGCACCTGGACCAAGCAGATCCAGCACCACGGGTCTTGGTAGAGTCTTATGGCCATGACCTGCAGCTCTCAGCCCATGTTTGTTCATGAGGTGCAGATACTGCACCCTGTGTTTGGGGGGAGACTGCAAGGGAGCTGGGCCCCCTCTCTCTCCTCCCTAGCTCTCCTCCCTCACGACTGCAGACCCCACTGGGCATGGCCCACGAGGGTACTGTGGTCACATTGTGCGGAGGACTGGGTTTTGCCTGGACTTCTGTTGTCATCACAGTTTAGGGTCAGGGAGGGCCACTGTCCAGGTGCTGAGGGCTCTTTGTGTTCCTTTCTAGGGCAGGTTCCTGTCTGGTGGCCACCTAATGTCCTGTGAGGTTGGGTGGGAGGCTGTTGCCTCTCCACTCCAGATTTCAGGCTGTGGGAGCCTGCACATATCTCCCAGACCAAGGTGCCAGCTTCCAGCTTTGCTGGGCACAGTGCCCACAGCAGGTGAGGGGCCATCCAGCCTGCAGGCTGGGCTCATCCATGTGGGGCAGAATCTTCAGCTCAGAGCCCAAAGGCTAGCAGGGAACAGAGGGAGGATTCAGAGCCTTCCTCCCTCAGGAGCCTAAAGAGACCACCTGCCCAGCAGTTCTCGGGACAGCCTAAGGCACTGAGAACCAGCCACCTTCTGGTTTTCTGAAAACAGCCCTCCCAGGGCTACTTGCCCTTTTGGTTTTTCTTCTAGAACCCTCTGGGACTGACAGTTAGTGGCCACCAGCACTTGATGGGCTTCCCAGGAAAAACCTTGACTTACAATGTGACCACTCATTCCTAGTACCCCATCTGAGCAGTGGGTGGTCACCAACCTCCTGGGGGACAGGACTCTGAGGCCCCTGGGGTCCTCTATCAGTCTGCAGGACTCCTGCCACTCTCCACCCCTCCAGGCACACCCAAGGCATCTCTGCAAACTGAGTCAGACCCCTAACCTGAGTCTGCCCCAGCCACTGATGCCCTTCTGTACCCCCAAGACCCCAAGATCCCAGGGATTCCAAGTCCAAGTCCACGGCTGGGGAGGACCTGGAGCAGGGGCATTGTGCACAAGCCAGTCTCTGCCACCCCTTCCTGGGAACCTCCTGCAGGATCCCGAGGACTCCTCTGCCCTTCCAGGGGTCTCCTGGACTTGGCCTTGCTGGCTGCACCTCCTTAGGGGGGAAACACAACCCACCGAGACCATGGTCAGCAGCTGGGGTGGGCTCGCACCCCAGCAGCCCTGGGTCTGAAACTTTCTCAGGGCTCAGCCTTAGCCTGAGGCCCTCTGCGACCCCTGCACTCCCCATCCCGGTGCCTGCCCGCCAACACCAGCAGAAAAGCCACTGCCACTTAGGGGACAGTTTCCCAAACTGCACCCAAGAGCCTCCGCAGGAGTTAGTTGGTGGGAACTAGAATGAAAGGGGTCTGAGCTCACCTGCAGCTCCTGTCAGTATCACTGTTTCCTGCAAGCAGCAAAGTCCCTGCAAGCAGCAATGTCCCTGCAGTGCTCCCCTGGGGGCCAGTCCACAGCAGGAATGCGCTGTGCTTGTCCCGCGCCTCTCTGGACACTCACCTGTCCCTGTGCAGTGACAGTGCAGGCGATGTCCAGCTGGGAGGCTTTATGTGGCTCCACCAAACCCCGCCTGCTTGCGGGAAAACTAAGGGAGACAGTCCCTCTGCAGCCCAGCCTTGGAGGTGGAGTTGGAGGTGGAGCCAGGCTCAGAAACGAAACCGATTCCTACCCAGATCAGGCTGCTGCCCTGCAGGGCTCCGCCTCCTGGATCTTGCTGAAAGGAGATGCTCCAGCCAGGCCACCCTGCTGTGTCTCCAGGGAAACTTGTGGGGACCCTGATAGGCAGCTTGATCTTTAGGAGAAGCTGGAGGCTTGCCATACAGGCAGCTGCAAAGACCCCTCTTCAAACCCTGATTCTTACCAATCAAGTCTCAAAGATTTCCTAAGTGTCCCTTAGAATAACAGGACAAATTTATTGAAGGGGAAAGAAGAGAACACTCTCAAGAGAGAGAATGGGTGCTCTCAGAGAGGAGAGAGACAAGGATCCTCTCCTGCACTTCAGTTTGGGCGTCCCAGAGGAGTTCCAAAAGCCCTGCACAGCGCCTCCTCTTGACTTTTGACAAATAATAGGACAGCAAGGTGACTCTAAGGTCCCCACTGTCATGGAACTCTAGGTTCTATTTGGATTCTTAACAGTACATTCTTACAGATTTTATGATTAGGAGGAACTGCCTTTGTCTCTCAGAGTTTCAGGATCTGGTCACAAAAGTCTCCTCCTTTGGGGTAACTTGGGTTCCTCTTATCCACACTATTTGGGGCCCACATTTTTCCTACAGTTAAGAGTAGTTTACTGAGGAATGTGACATATCCTGTCCACTGAGGCCAGGCAGGGCTGCAGGTAAATGGCTTCTTGGAAAAGAAAGCACGTGGGGGTCAGCGCAGTGGGGGTCAGCACAGTGGATCCGTTTCATAGAATTAGTCCCTGAACCTCGGGTTCCCACCACTGACGTCTGCCTGTCCCTTGATGCTCTGAGCTGCCTGCGGCACTGATGGCAGCATGGATGGTCTTTTGAGTAGACTCCCGGGGCCACTCCCACTGCAGCAGGGAGCCCACCTTTCTGTGTTCCAGGTAGCGGGCCCTTGGCCATCTCCCAGTGCATCTCCTCCTTCCCCTTTACTCTCTGGGGGCTGGGAGGCCTCCCTGCAGTTCTGCCCCTGACTTCTCCAGGTTGGAAAAGGATGGGAGACCCTGGGGTGGCACCCAGCAAGCTTGGCCCTCCTTCTGGGGTTCCTGCTCCCTGTGCAGGGGAATGACGTTTCCCTCGGGGAACTGAGGAACCCCTCTTCCACACCCCTTAGTTCAGCTGACGGTTCCAAACCACAAGTCCCCAAAAGTCTGCTGTGATTAGGGATCATCACTCCTCCACCACTCCACACAACCTTCCCCAGCTCCTGTACGGGGTTCCCAGAGACTCAAATGTCTGTGGAAACCAGGGGACCTCTGCAGCCCGCATCTGCCTGGGCTGAAGGCCTTTGGCTCTACAGGGTCCACCCGCGCTAGGTGTTAGGTGGTACACCCCAAGCTCTCCCTCTCCCAAGGTCACCCAGGAAGCCTGCAAGCCCACGGAGCTGCTTACCTCCAGTCAGACTTAAGAGAGACCCAACTTCTTCTGGCCATGAGCCCAGTGACAGAGGTCTCTGCAGGACATAGGTGCCAACCTGCAGTGCCTTTGGGACATCCCCAGATCTCACTCTGGGCAACTGGGCAGCAGTGCTCCTACAAACCACAATGACTGTTTTTAGGAAAGTTCATCAAAGCCCCCGACTGACACCTGGGCTGAGTCTCAGCTTAGCCAGGACTGTGAGGGGAAGGGCCACAAGGAGCCCGGGTCCAAACTGAAGGAGCACCCTCTGGCTGGTGCTGCAGCCCCCTTCAGTCTGTGCCTGTGCTTCCCCCACTGCCCTGCTCCCTCCCGGGCTCTGGTGCGGGAACCTCATCACTTTTATAAGCACACCATGACAGTGCCCTCAGGGCCTGCTAGAGAGTGGGAAGTGGCCGCGACCTGGACCCAGGTCATGGGTACTGACTCAGCATGTTAGGCACCAGCCTCAGAGAGGAATAGGAGCCAGTCACTCACCCCACGAGCACACTCCCAGGTGGGAAGATTCTCACTCCTATTTCACACAGGAGAAGACTGAGGTCCATGGAGCAGGCCCCTAGCCGGGAGGGAGGGCTGTGGCCCCCACACCTACATCCTTCTGCACCTTTGCCCCTTTGCTAAGATGAAGAGGCAGCGCCTGCCCTCAGGAGCCCCAGCACCTCCCACCCAAGTTGCTGTGGAGGTATTCCCTCCTAAATAAATGCCAGATCTCTCTTTTCTATCAAAAAGAACTTCAAACTCCCAGCCCTGGAGAGTGCCTCCCTGCCGATCCGGGGAACTTCTGCCCACCACATAAGCTTCTGCCTCCTGAGATCTGTTTAGGAAGGTCCTCCTTCTGGGCTGCCCTGCGCTCACAGACTGCTGGAAAGTCCCCTTCCTGGAAAGTCCCATGCAACGTCTGCCTGGCTGTGCAGTTGTCCCTCGAAGCCCCTTCCAAAGCTGGCTCCGGCGTCTTCTGGGCCCCTAGCGGCCT